CTCTCTCTCTCTCTCCCTCTGTAACCCCCCCCCTCCTTCCCTCCTTCCCTCTTGGATTGTTGGAGATAAAGATATATATATCCCCACAGAATAACATACACTCCATAAAACACCTCCTGTGCGTGAGAATTGAAAACACTTCTTGTGCGTGAACGGCCAAAAACTTACCCATTCAACCATTAGACTGGGGTCACTTTCCCGCTACGGACTATCTTCCTTGTATCGGAAAGTGACACCATGATACACCCAGCTTAACACCTTTTACCTGACTTTAAGGGATACAGGAGATCTACCTAAGCCCCCTTATCCCAACCGATGCCCCCACCCGCCTCCATCCCCGCATTTTCCGTTTACGTTTCGATTTTTTTTTTTAAGCCAACTCTTGCGACACTTGCAACATAAATAGGTCTTATTAATGCCAAAGATAGGAGGTGCTAACATACGAAGAAAGATGGAGGAGGAGAGATAAGGATGATAGATGTTTAATAGGAAAGAACACCATAGCACCCCCTACCCTCCCCCTCACACACACACCCGCCAACCACCCACCCGTAGTGTTTACCGACCCGTCTTTGAGGCGATTCCAACGGATTTGTGTCATGCGGAGCTGGCTTCGCGTTCATTGGTTGAGGGGTAGCGTGGTCGCCACTTCTGTTCTGTTGTGCAATAGGTCAAATCCTGGGATTTTGAAGGATGCGCGAGGAATCCCCGCTCTGAAAGGGACGTTCGCTAGCGGAGGTGTTCGGGAAAATCCGCACGAGAACTTGAGCACACGACGAAATAGACGTCCTAGAAATGAAATTTGTCAGCTTCACCGCGTTTAATTGCTGAACTGCGCGTTCATACGGCCTTATGTAGTTTCGAGCGCCGTAAAACTCTAACCAAACTTGACTAAACGCTGGCTGGATCTGTTGGAAGCTGCTACAAGTTTCTAGCGGTGTCAATGTAAAATGGGATAAAGGGGAATAAGGAGCTTACCAGTTTGACTTAGAGTTGTTGTGTGGGATTAGAGAGCGATGTAATCTGACTTTCTCTCCCCCGACACTTCCCTCACATTCCCTGAAATTGTTCCTATGGTTAGTTGGAGGGTGGGATGCCCTGGTACAGTTTGAGCCTTCTTTCCTATCAAACATCTATAGTCCTTACCCGTCCTCCTTTTTTTTCTTTTGTGTGTTTCTCTCAAGTAAAATCTTTAATCTTTAGCACTTATTTGACATAGATTTGTGTTGCAAGTGCCGTAAAACACGGTTTCTTACTAAAACTACCCCCCCCCCCCAAAGAAAAAAAACAACCAACCGACAAACCCACAGGTACAACCGATTTTGTTAACAGAAAAAAAAATCCATTAAAACTGACTATCTTTTGATATTTTCTGAAGCTGCCTCTGTACTCGCTATAAAAAACAAAACAACGTAAGAATATTATATCCTTGAAATTGGCGCTCATATGACCTTATGCGGTTGCGAGTGCTGTGAAAACTTTACTAAAACTAATATCAATGAAAGTGTAAAATCATAACAAACAAATAAATAATGACAATGTTTTGTTTTTTCGTTCCATCCCACAGACGCATCTTCCCAGCCTACAAAGTCCGGCTGTCTGGGCTGGACAAGAAGTCCAAGTACTTCCTGGTGATGGACATCATGGCGGTGGACGACTGCCGCTACAAGTTCCACAACGGCAAGTGGACAGTGGCCGGCAAGGCTGACCCCGAGATGCCGCGTCGCTGCTACGTCCACCCGGACTCGCCCTGTACTGGGGACCAGTGGATGCAGAAGGTGGTCAGTTTCCACAAACTCAAGCTGACCAACAACATCTCGGACAAGAATGGATATGTGAGTACTGATTTTTGGTGTAGGGTTTAGGGGGTATGTACGTGTGTGTGTGTGTGT